AAAATACACTATTATAATTTATATAGAATTAATACAGTAACATATTTATATGTAATCACTATATGTAAAATTAATGGAGTTAACGACAAGTCGCAACTTTATATACCCCTTTTTGCATATTACTAATACCGGATTTTGAATTGAATTTATTATTAGTGATTAATAACAGGATAATGTATCTGTAATAGTCGTGAAAAACTTACGTATGTCATGTAATTAAGGATATCGTTCACGTAAATAGTATAAAGAGACCTCCTAATTGATCGTTGGTTTTCACGTAATCTCTGTTTCGGTTCCACGAATTTGACTACTCTTAGTAATCCGGGTCTATCCGGATGTTGTGTTTATCACTATATTTATTTATACTGACATTGTCGTGTCCGGATTGTTGTTAGTATTCGTGGATATTCACGATACGTATGTTTACAAGCTTTTGGACCCTATTTTAGTGTTGACTACATCTACATAAATGATTTTACTTTATGTTAACTTAAAGTTTCTTAAGACAATTTATTCCGACAGACAGGAGCTTATTCGTTATAATTCATTATGTCAACATATTTCTCTTATTGTTATTTAACTATTATGAATGCCTATGTTTTTAGGTGTTGAGTAATAATCGTTTATTTAAACTGTTACAAGTCTTATAGTTACCGCTTGTATTGACCACCAGGAACAGGAGATGATCCAGAACAAGGAGTTGTACTCGTTTTACATTTTGGTTGTGTACCATTAGTAATTCTATTGTCTTCATCTTGTTTCTATAGTTAACTTGTGAACACGAAGATTCTAGTAAAGTGGTCGGTTTATTCGGCTTACTAATTGGACTCATAACTTACAAATATATCACTTAATAATTAGTGTTTACTTTTAACATAGTCCTTTCACCTATACAATCAATACTGTACTTTGAGTCTAATCGAAGTACTAATTACAGTCGCACATGTTTTACTCAAAATTCGAATACATTTATTTTCATTTTAGACATGAATTACACATTTATATACAGTGTAATTCAAATACGTCACTACTTTTGTGATCCTAAGATTTTGGTAACCAAATCTAAAACACCAAAACAATTCGATCACATGAGTAAATTTGTGTTTTCACAAGAGTTTTGGTGATTTTCCGAAAATCGGATGTCAAAAATTTTAAGCTTTTGAGCTACTTATCTCATCACACAGTGCTCTAAGGTGAGTCATTTGCATATATAGCAATACCAGAGATTGTCCTGAACATTTTGATATTGAACACATGGGGTGCCATGTTAGAAGAAATACATTTAAAAGGTGATTTAAGAAAACATCTAAAAATCGAGAAAATACCCTTAGACTCCAGAGGGTACATCAAAGAACCCAGCATGAGTAGACTAGATTTTTAAAACTATCCAACCAAGTTGGAGAATTAATTCAGGAGAAATGAAATGATTGGACCTATTTATCACAGTCCTGCGACAGCCCTATATAGTGGATTTATTTCCCTTTCTTTGTCAGACCATTTAAATTATTGATTGCTGTCAGGATGTACAGATGTATACAACAACAAATGTCTCTAAGACACATTCCCCACCCCAGCTCTAAAAATGTTTGATTTCATAAATAAAAACCGAGCAGTTGTGTAGAGGATTATTCTCCCAGCTTTTACTCCAGCAGTTTACACTCACACTTATTGATCCAAATGCCACAGACATATACTGTTTCACCTGGTAGAGACACAGTATACCCTTCAGCAGCACGCAGTCACTGAACACCTCAGCACCGTGCTGCAGTCATTTCACCTCAGTCTGTGGCCTGGCGTCTTGTTCTTTGAGAGGGTGTACACGGCCAGATCTGCTTGGTGAACTGAGAGAAGCTCAGAGTAAAAGCAGAGAGTTTGGAAGATGTTGCAGAACTAATGCAGCACAGTGCATTGTTAATGGCTCAGAGGCAAGAGCCTGGTAAATACTGCAGTTTTAACTTTTTGGTGTAAAAGAGGCCAGAAATACTTATGTGTGGTGATGTCATCAAGAGACTGTTTATAAGGCTGCTCTATTGAAAATGAATGATTTTGTGGACCAAGTTTTATGCTAAGTGCGGGCTGAGAGGCAGGGTAATCAGAGGGGAAAAATAGCCCCACCTGGACAGAGGCCGTTTCTCAATGTCGAGGAGGCTTGCTTGGTAGCACATATATGCTGGGCATTTAAACAGTGATTTGGCGCTACTCGATGACGTAGTATGCTTGAAATAGTGGCTCTGGAGCAGCTTTACTCAACATTGAGAAACGCAGAGACAAAGAATAACTGAGCAGTTCAATTTGGTGTGGCACATGCTGAGAGGAGGAGGCTCCCAGTCTCGGTTTGAAGAAGTTTGCTAAACTGGTCGGTTAGCGTCCTTGCTAAGGTACACTTTTGAGTTTGGGTAAATAAACCCTTTTCGACGGAAAGACTGACTCTTTCTGGGTTTACCGCCCTTCCACTATTCCTTGTCCTTACCCTGTTTCACAAAAATCCAGATTATTAAAATCACAAAAAGTTGGACATTTTTAATTGGACAAACATGATGAATAAATAAACAGATAATAACTAATATTATGTTATGTCAACAACCACGGTTTTTAGGAGTTGGTTAATGGAGATAAATAGATGGGGACCACAATCATCAGTCGCAAAACGGTGTTCTCATTGCAACAGAAGATCGTGCAACAAGATTACGTATATAATTATAGGCAGGGGCGCCGCCAGGGATTTTGGGCCCCATGAAAATATATCAAATTGGGCCCCCCGACAACCAGGCCCAGGCCACGCCAACCAAGCACAATTGCTAACCACACCTCCAGAACCCAACCCACTCATTTATGCTTTAAATAACTCCACCTGTACAGGCTTGCATCTATCTTGTAGTCCAATACTAACCGCACAATATTTACTGACAGTGAGCTGTGAAAATATAACACTGCAGACGTGCAACATTCTGCTGCAGTAGAATTCACTATTTGATATAAGACTAACATTCCTGACAATAGACCTCAATAGTCATCTTTTATGGTGTAAATGCCTTTTTAATAATAACACTTATGAATGGAACATTCTCAACATGAATGCATAAATCCAAATAAATATAACATGACCTCTTAAATTAAAATAAAGTGAACATTACCACCAACAAAATCATTTATAAAATGCTATAACACAAAAAATAACATAAGCAGCAGATTTTTTAATTAAATATACATACCAACTACAAAATAAGCAGGTATTAAAGTGGAACACAACGGAAATGGAAATGAAAAGGCCTTATGGTGGTGCCAAATCAGAGCCTATTACCTGTTCTCAGTCTTTTTCAATGGCATCTGAGTCCTGGCTCAGCCTTACTCACCAAGGCCGGCGGCCTAGCCTCTACAGGCAAGTCACTGATAAGCCTGAGTCCAGCTTCTAGCTAACTGGCTTTCAATGACAGCATGCAAGACTGCAACCTGTCCTGAACATAGGGACCTCAAATAGTTTATCATTAGTAGCTTACTAAAGCTCTCTCACCTCATGCAAACAGTCACAGCACGTTGGCAAAATAACTAAAACAACGCAAACTTCCCAAAAAGCTTGCAGCTGCATTTGGATTGGCCATCAGGAGACCAAGAGGACAAGTTAGTGGGAATGGCAGCTACACGGTTCAGTGTTCTTACTTCATCAAAAATCAGGTGTTAAGACTTCTTTAATACTTCCCCGTCAATGGTGGCAAACAGAAGAACAT